GGCTGGACAGAGGACCAGGGAGCAGAAGAGAGAACGGGCCAAGCTCACGCGTCCGCGGAAAGCGACCTTGGTCGGTAAGGCGCGGCAGAGCCGGGCCGCTGCTGGGGGGGAGGCGTGCCCTGGCCCTGCCGGGGCTGCGGGGCAGGCCCGGCGTGGGGGGCCCTGCGCGGCGTGCCTCGCGGTGGGGTTCTCCAGGCCGCCACGCTCCTCCTGCTCCTCAGGCTCGCCCCAGAGAGGCGCTGTAACTGGTGCTAGAGCAGTTGTTTAGTCACGTTTCTGTCTGGGCTCAGTGACTTTAATAATGTACAGTGGTAATCCTCCCTACACTGACATTATGGGCATAAGAACAGACAGGCTTCCCTCATCAGCCTGCAGTATCCAGTCCTAAATTCCTGTAATCAGATTTTAGTATTTTCTCAGTTTTGACTAAACAATGTAGGACAGATAATGCCTTTTTTTTTTTTTTTTTAAACCGTTGTATGCTTGCAGAAAGGTGGTTTGGCACCTGCCATTCCTGCGTGTTTGCTTTTGCTGTACAGGAATTGCATAACGCCTTACTGTGTTCTGTGCAGGTGGCATTGCTGGAGGTATTGAAATGTGTATTGCCATTGTAAAAATGCAATTACAGTTGGATGAAAAAGCAAATCCTTGTCTGTCTGGAAGTACAGGTAAGATAACAGCAGCTTTTGTGCAGATCCCATATCAAACTGTTTAGTGTGTTTTTCACATACCACGCTCTATAGTGCCTTTATACATCTGGATGAGAAAAGCTGTTGGTTGAAGCCTGGATGTTGCCTTGCAGATCATTGCATGAAGTTAGCTGTCCAAGATCATGGTGCTTATGACCTGTACAGGGGCCTCAGCTCCCTTCTGTATGGCTCTGTTCCAAAATTTGCTGTCAGGTAAATTGAACTACATAGTAGCTATGGTTAGAAAACCCCAAAGACTTGTGGAACAGCTTTTCTGATTGATTATTGCTTATTACCAGTAACAATAAATAGCTGCTGGATGGTGTTTATTCGCAGATCTCTGAGTATTAAACAAGATGGATTTTTGTTGTTTTTCTCACATTTTACTGGTATTAGGATGAAGTATGAGACCCCAGCCGTCTTTGTATTGTAACTTTTTGCAGATTGTTAGCTCGGACTAACTCCTGAGGATGAGAGGAAAGGGAAGATAAAGGAATGTCATGTTTGGTTACAGAGTGTAATGATGAATATATAAGCTTCGAAGAAGCTTACCTGTTACTAAGAGTGCTATTTAGGATTGTAAATCTGTATTTCTGATTATGTGAACAGCACTGGACCTGAGATTCTGGATTGGACTGATCTAAGCAGTATGTCTTGCCCTCGTTAGTTTAGCCTGTTCCCTTGCCAAGGCAGAAGTGCCACATTTACTTTAAGGATATAACCTTTCATCCAGTGTGCCTTGTTGCTTAATGCACTTCTTGGGGACTTTCCTTGAGATTTAGGAATGGGAATAAGGCTATTCCCATTCAGAGGCAGTCAGTTCTCTTTCATATTTTTTTGTAGTGATTTCTTAGTATTAGCTTGAGAAGATTCCACATAGAATAAATTCACTGCCTATTTGCCAGTAGAGGGGATTCACCGATATCCTAATTACTCATAGTAACACAGGTCCGTTCCTTCTCATCATGGAGCGGAAGAGTAGGGCTGGAGGGCAGCCTTGGCTTCTTTCCCCAGTTCTGGAGCTGTGCTAAGGGGTTCGTTGTTTCAGGCGTGGAGATTTCTGCCTCTTTGCATGCAACTCTGCTATTTCTTGTCACAGCGAAGAGGGAAACGAGAAAAACATTGTTCCAGGTGTTACTGTGGTCTTTGCCTCAGATAAGATTAAATAGTTTAAGTCTTGCCCATATGCTCCAGGTTCAAGGCAAGATGTAATTAAACATCTTTCATCTTCAAACCTTTTTCTTGAGCAGTTTAATTTTTGCTTTGTTTAATCAAGTTTTTGCTTCAGGTTTTTTTTTTTTTTTTTTTTCTCAAACTAAAGGCAAATAGTTAGCTACTGAGTATCAGGGCTCATTAGAATTAAATTGCAAATGATGTAGAAAAGTATGGAAGAATGGGCTGCATGCACCTAATACTGTCGTTCTGTATGTCTGTCATGCCCTTGGGGGATGGAATTGCTCCCTTATCTGCAGATTTGAAATGTTACTCAGTTATTATGCAAAAGATCCACTTGGAAAGTTGGACAGCAAAAGAGGTTTGATTTGTAGTCTTGGGTCTGGCGTTCCAGAAGCTATTGTTATTGTCTGTCTAATGCAAACTATAAAGGTAAGCAGAATGAATACTTGACACACGTCCTAATGGTACATTATACTTACAGATGCTTTAGAAACTACTACGTTTTAGCTGAGCAAGTCTGCCTGGCTTTATTGGGCTTTGAAGTCCTTCATTGTATTGGCTTACTCTTTATTATTATTATTTTATTTGACCTATAGAAACTAAACAAGAAGATGGTTCTACTTTTGTGTGCGGTTTTACATAGCTGTGAACCACTGTTGAGTGTTTGGTGTATTTTCCACAAGAAGTGCAACTGGCATGATTGTAGTGAGTAGTTAACGTTACTGTGATTTTCATACTAAACGATGTGAGGTGGAAACTCACAGTTGGAATCGCAGTTTTATACTTAATGCTTTGTTTTAAATTCTTTACAGGTGAAAATTCATTTGTGGTCTGTCCTCTTTAAATCCAAAGTGCAAAGGGTTTTTCCATGGTGTCCATGATTGTTTGGGAACAAAGTATACTGATATATAAAAATTCATAATGGTTCTTTCCTATGCATAATTTGTTAAGAGAAACTGAATCTATTCTGATTTACCATCTTAATGTAATATGCATCTGTGGGCTTAAGAAGGCAGGTTGTTCTTGTGAATTATAGGAAGCAGTCTGAATTTAGGAAGATGTAATCTTTTACAGGTTTACATGGGATATAGTAGGGGCAGACAGCTACTGTCCTTAAACAAGGTTCAAACCACACTTTTTTTGATTCTTTGTGATGACTTCCTTTTGAAATTGGTATCTAAGTAAAATCAGCTAGCCAGAATGGCAGTTTTACTATATAAATCTGTAATTCCTAAAAATGCTGCCTTATGGAATCCTCTGGTTTAATTGTCTTCCCCCCTCTCCGCACCTTTACATGTCCCACTGGTCAGGGCTTCTCCCAGGATGCCTTGGGGTAGAGACTTTAGAAACCCTCGACAGGTCTAAAAAGGAAAACATGCTGAACCTGTGATGATTTAGGATGATATTGTGCTAATGACATCATGTCATAGCTGCCAGATGTTATAGCTTACCTTTTGATTGTTAAGTCTAATGCCTATTTGTAGTGGACCACTATATCTCCCTGTTTGAAAATCATCTACAGGGATAGTCTTTGCAAAGCCTGAGTTGGAAGGCAGGATTTTACTGACATCCTGTGCCTGCCCTGTGGGCGTGCTATGTTTTGTGTAGGTCAGTAAGGCTTAAGAGATGATGCGGTACTTTAGCAGTCTTGGACAGGGAGCTGAACCAGATCCAAAAAGCCCTTGCCCAATGCTGGTTAACACTAATGCACCCCTGCAGACCTAGATATCCAGTTCTGCCCCAATTTTGGTTTTTCAGCGTCTGGAAGCCCATAAGTATAAAAAAGATCTAGTACACTAGATCGCTCCTAACAGATCCTCAAACATGAAACGACCACTGACAGAAGACAACTATTAGACAAAAGAAAACCACGATAGTCTCTTGGATTTAGTGACAAATTCAACTACAGAGTCCAAGAGGAGCATTAGAATATAATTTGAAGCTTAATTGCAGAAATTTCCTAGGCTAATATTGGAGGCATGCTTGCTGTTAGCTTTCTGTTTGCACCAACACAGTTAAGGAAGTTGCTATGGGACTTTCTGATTTATATTATCTAACATTGCTCTTCTAATTGTTCAGATATGCTTTGCTGTTGAGATTCAGACACTAAGCACCAAAGGCTGAGCTGTGAACATAAGGCATTCATTAGAAAATGTAAGAGAACTGGAAGCTGAACTGACTGCTGTGTGTGTGGGGGGTTTTTTTGGTGTGGTTTTTTTTTTTTTTTTTTTTTTTTGCTTTTAACCTGGCCAGTGGTGAATGTTGTATACTTCAGTCCTCCTCTGCATGACTGGAAATTTAAAGCTGTAAATGCTACAGCAGCTATGAACAAATCCATATGGCATTAACCTTGCTCCCTTCCACAGCTGCATTTACCTCCAAAACAGTTAGGGCTGCCATATGCATAACAAGATAAAACAAACAGTTATCCAATTCATTATAGCTGTATTTTGCTACCTTGCTAAATGAAGCTGCCACCATGAGCTGTAGGCTGGGAAGCTTGCACAATGACCACAATTTCTTTTCATCAAAACCCTTTTCCAGACTTTGCAAACCACTTACTAAAGCTGCAGCAGCCTGTCTTTAATAGCTGTTGTTACCATATCAGTGTCTGCTGCTTTTTAGTAATGTCATGAATGCAGCACAGGTGCATCCTCTTAGATATAGTTCTTCAGATCAACAGCTCTTCCTTCAGTTCTGCAGTCTGCCATGTGTAGCTATGTTAAACATCTCCATTGCAGATAATTGCTGCTAAGGTTTTACAAAGCCCATCATATCTTTCTTTTTGGCCAGCCCAAGTATATATATATATTTTTTAAAGGACTTTAAAGGCCTTTAGTTTGAGAATTGGAGGAAGAGAACTGTGGCAGCAGTAGCTGTCTAGCTTACCAGCCTGCAGTGATGAACAGCAATATAACAGGCAGTAGGTAATAGCAACAGGCCTTGGCCAGTGAGATATGCAAGGACACCCCCCCACACACACCCCCAAGACTTCTGGTATTAGGACTTTAAGCTTACACAATCATCTGCAGATCCACCATCTAAAACCTGAGTGTACAGGAAAGTAGCTTTGAGGAATACCAGCTGAGGTTAGCTGATCAGAGGCTGGGGAGAGTGTCATTTCAGCCCTCTGTCATTTCAGTCTCAGTGCACCAGTTTGGGAGAACAGAAGAGAAAAAACAGCTGCAGCCAATATGCTGTGGTTTACTGCTTTTTGGAAATACCACACAAAGGGAGGAGTGATAAAAGGCATCCATGTAACTATTGTGCTTCAAGCAGGAGGAATTCCCTGGAGGAGTTCCTCTTCCTCTATTTTGTCCAGTCAAAACCCTGCTAAGCTGTTAAGTATTAGGGAGGTTGGCTCTGGGCTGTATATTTGTTAATCAAATTTGATTTTCATTCAATAGTAAGTATCAGGTGCCTACACCTACTTGTGGTTACTGCAAGCACAGGTGAACTCAACTTGAAGAATGCACCTCTCCACAGCCCCTGTCTTTTTGTTTCATAGGTACCTGTGAGCGCATGAAAGGGGCTTACCAGTACCTGAAAAGGGACAAGATCCAATGTGAGAGATGAGAGAGAGAGAGAGCGCGAGCAAGCTATCGCTAGATATAATGGACTCCAGGCCCTTGTTCCAGAGGGGTGGTGGACAAGGACAGTGACCTATGGGATATGGACACTAGGGTTTTTTTTATCTTTTTCTTCTTTAGTAGCAGTTGTCCCACTTTTCCCCGACGTGGCTAGTGCTATAAGGTGGAGGTTCACTTGCTTGGCTTTTTTCAGAATGGAATTGCTCAAAGCTACTCTATTTTTTTTTTTTTTTTCCCCCCCCAGCGTGTTTCTCCCCCCCCCCCCCCCAGCCGTGTTCTGAGGCAAAACTGCACAAAAATATCTTGTAACTAAGGCAGTGACTGGAAGGGAAGTTCTCAGAAGGACTGGCAGATTTAGGCTTTCATAGACAAAGTGTGTTTGAAGACTGAAAATGTTTGGGATTTGAAGGTTGTATCAGCTATACAGAGAAGTAATACATTAGAAGAGCAGGTGATGGCATTGCTGAGTCTGTTTTGGAACTCTTGCACAGAATGAATTGATCTAATTGCTCCTACTGTAAAAGCAGGATCAAGTTTCCAATAAGCCACCTTATGTAATAGTTAATTTTTAGATACAGTGCAGCAATATTAGAGAAGCCTGAATACATCCCATCTGTTAAACATACACTATGCTGACTCTATATATTGTTATATTCCTCACTCATGCTACACATTTATTGTGTGTATATGCTCACTCTGCCTTTTTGAGCTAAAAAATACTACCAAAAAAAAACTATCAGAGACCATATTACATGTTCTAATTTCAATTAAATACACAGCCAAGTAGTTGAGATTTTTTTCATTTATATCACATTTATTCTCTTTATTAAAAACAAAACAAAACTACAGCTTTGTGCATTAAGCTATGTGATAGTACTGTCTCCTTCATCCCCTTGCATGCGAACCACCAGCAGTTAAAACCAGTTCACAGTCTCCCCCACCCCGGTAATCATTTTGAAGGTTACCTGATACTTGACAGCAAACAGAAAGTATCTCCACTGTCAGCTCTATAAGCTGGGAACAGTTTTGAAAACATGTACAAATAGCTTTGGGTAGGTGTGAAAACAAACTAAATTGTAGGACGGATGTAAACTCCTCCTAGTAAATTGGCAATAACTTTACTGTCTAAAACTCCTTTTAACAAAATTTTTGCTACAAGGCCTAAATTGGCAGAGCACTTACTTACCTGTATATATAGCCCTCAAGTCACGTGGAATCATCCTTGATCAGGGATTGTGAATGAACGAGCTGTTTAAAGCCAGTATTGCCCTTGTAGTAGTTGCAATGGAACATGGTTCTGCTAGTTAACAAAAAGTGTTTTGCTTTAAGAATGTAACTATAAGCATCACATGTGCAAGTGTAGACAAGATTTCCTATTACGCTGACTTTGATCACTTCTCCAAACAGAAAAATGGAGTGTTAATCCTTCCAGTGCAATTAGTGGAGCAAGAGGTACAGAGTTATTCCTCAGAATGATAGTCGCTGAAGTTTAAAAAAAAAACAAAACAAAAAAAAAACAAAAAAAAACCTGAAGACAATGCACAGTCATATGACAAATGTGTTAACAGCCTTCCCAAACTCTGTCCAGTTGCATTAAAGCTATGACATTAGTAGTAGCTAGGCTGGTGCTAGTTTGACCAAATATATTTCAGATATGTAGTAAGATATGTATTTAAATATGTCATAGCAACAGACTAGCTAGGAGCATGATGATTTAGCCCTTCAGCACTTTACCTTTGTACATTTTTGTGAATTTTTTTTTTTGAGACTGCTAGTAAAGTAACTGATGAACTCATGATTTCTTAAGTAAACTTGACTAGAGAGGGAAGCTGAACTGAATTCCCATTCCAAACACCAAACTTCAGTACTGTTTGAAACTGAAATTCAGAACTGAATACTTTGTCATCTGTAAATTCATTCTAAATAGAAGCTGTACTGCAGAAAAGTGTTTGACATATTTTATTATAAATGGTCATCAATACAGAACCAAAGTAATATTTATAAATACCTACAAAGAGCACAAACAAATGCAGGTTAAAAACCATTCTTTAGCCTAAGCAGAGGGCTCTATTTTCTATGAGCCTGTTTTTAGGGAAGAAATTAAAGTTTCCTTGTTTTTAGGGTGCTTTTTAATTTATTTTGTTTTTAACATTCACTGTGAAAACAAAGCTCTGTTAAATTAACTGAAATTGGAAACTAGCCAAAGGCATTTCAGAATTCCCACTTAATTCACACTTTTTTGCACCTTGCTTGGCCACTTAACAGACAGAACAAGGACTGAATGCGTCATTAAAATGTCATTCCGGTCCACCTTAGAGTTGCTCTCCTCCAGAGCATAGGTCAAAGGATACTGCAGTCCCGCTTCTCCTACAAGCGTTTAGAGCATTTTGTAGCTTGTTAACCACCCCTAATTCATGCACACAGCCTCACACAAAACAGCCCCAACTGCTGCTATTCTTCATAAGCAAGAAATGAAGCCAGGACTCCAGTAGAGGCCTCAGCCAGTTTTCCAAGCAAAATCACGCTAGATCCAACCACTGCACCACACTGCAGACAAACTGCTGTGTGAGATGGTGGTGTCTGGGGCCCCACTCAATAGGTAAGACCTGGTATTCTCTTTCTGCTGTAAGAGAACAGTGTAAGTCCTGTTTGTTGGGGCAAACACCTTAAGTTTGTAGAGCCTGTTGCCCTAATGATAGTGTATTCTAGCTTACATTTGCTACATGGAGTTTTCCTTGTCTTAGTATGTCTGCTCTTTCTGTTATGTAATGGTGGACAGAGACATGAAAGGGAAGATGCTGTCCTTCTGGAGTTTAAACTGCATTTTAGGAGACAACAGCTTCATAGCTTGAGTTACCTGTCACTGCATAAAATTATGTCCACCTCAAGTGAAGGCAGACAGGCGCTGGCATTTAGCTCCTTGGGATCTTAAACACAAGAACAGTCAAGAACCAGGCTACTACAAGCACCAAAATGACAGCATTTACCTTTCCCTATGCTTTTTGTCTTTTTTAAAATATGCTTCATTATTGACATACTGTTGTGATCAATGCTTTGAGAGACTGCTCAGCAACACTTCAGTCAGCAACACAGCTGAATGCAAGCAGGATAGCAAAAAGCTTTAGAACAAGAAGTAACACTGCATTCTATTTGTAAAACATTAGTCTTCCCATTAGTATACTGTACTTGACCCTTCTGGCTGAAGAGTTGGCCAGGGTTTCATTCAAAGCGACGTAGATGATTATATAGAGACTGTACATAGGTGAAGACACACATGGGATCTGGCTTGTGGCCCATCACCATCATGTCATCCACTTCTATAAGACGATCACAGTGAGCCATTTTCCTGTAGCAATAGTAAAACATCCAGCAAACAAAGAGTTAAAGCTAAGGCCTGTAACTACTTTTACGATTCCTTTGCTGCTCTGATATGAGCATCATTGAGGCATATAAGCATATCCTGGGGTTTAACCACATAATTTAATAATGAAATAGTCAAGCTTCGGTCATGTTGGATATTTTAATTTTTGTGACTGTGGAAAACTGGGATGTTATCCAAGGTCTAGGCAAAACAGGAAAAGAATCCCTGCTAGTCACGTCCCTGGTGGCTGTAGCATGTAGCCCACTATCTCATTCCACTGCCCAAGTTTCAGCAAATGGGGCCATTTGAGTTTGTGAATCTTTTCCCATAACAAAGCACAGCATGTTTTTCCTCATTACTATATAAGAAGGTCAAAAAGAAGAGGAAAACATGAGAAGACATGGAATGTGCCAATAACAACCTGCGTGGCTGTGGATTCTTTTTGTCACTCCTCCCTCCCCCTCCCCCCCTTTTTTTTTTTTTTTTAAATATCCCTTTCCCCAAGGTTTGAGTGACTCAATACAACAATCTCAGATGTTCATCATGTTGGAGGGCAGAAGCCGGTCTGAGATCTAGACCAGCAGAAAAGAGAAGATTTGCTGAGGCCTAGGCCTTCTCTTCGCCCCATGTTTGTTTTTATACATAACCTGGGATAGGGAAACACTGGAGCTTTAAGAGTTGAAGACAGTTTTACTTTAGAGCTAAGCCACCTAAAAATATGACACGTAACTGGAGTAAAAATAATAATAATACATAAAACTGTACTCCTCCAATTAATTTCAAACACTGCCATGGGGGTTGAATAAGGAAAGCCAACTTTAAGAATTTCAAAGCTTCTCCTATAATGGCAAGTGACAAATCCAGTTCTCTAAGTTTTTACTTTTAAAAAAAAAAAAAAAGAACGAAAAATTGCTCTGAAAGAACCCTATAGTTTCAGTGTGGTGGTACCAGTGTTTGACGCAGTTTCAAAAGTTTTAGGAAGCTGTAGCTGTGTATCTGCATCCTGTAATTAATTGAAAAGAGTGTACTGAAACCAGCTGCATACCACATGGTGTGTTCTTATTGTTACACAAGTCAAACAATTAAACAGCAAGCATGAGTCATGTTGATCTTGGGTCAAAAAGTTAACATTTCTTTCTGCTATTAAACAAAATGTCTGACTAGCTGAGATGTTCCCACTTACAATGACTTAAAAAAAATCCATTTTCATTTAATTCCCTGGTATAGTGCATCAAAAAGAATCAGGAGAATGTGACTGACAGTATTAACTCTGTCCATTTTAGAAAAATGCAGTCATCAAGTTGAGATACTGAAAAGAGCTCAGCCCTGATCTAACTCTACTTACACTGAACTCAACCTTTGCATTTATTACGCCAAAGCAATTTAAAATGGAGGTGAACCCTGTCACAACTCCCACTTCTAAAAGTTAAATTACTTGTAGCATCCCCTTACAGGGGTTACAGGTTTTTGTTTGTTTGTTTTTTCAGACAGACTAGGTTTATTTACATGCATCAAATTAAAATCAGTTAGGTGGGATTGTCAAAGAAAAGCTCTAAGTTGTATGTCCAGTTTCTTTTGTCAGTAAAAGTTGGATGCCTTGTGCTCTGTCAACTCAGATTTCTTACGATGGCTACTGGCAAATTTGTTAAGAATGCTCTATCAATCACTTGAAGAACAAAATGATTTAAAAAAAAAAGCAGTTTTTTTTTTTCCCTCTCCTCTGTCCAAACACAGGTCATGTGGTGATTTCTCAGATTTAGTGCGCCAGTGCTAAGGCTGGTTTAAAGTAAATGCTACTAAAAGTGTCCAATTTAAATGATGCATTTATGCTGCAGCAATTACAGAATTAAATCGTATAATTACACCAAAAGGCTTATGGCTAGCAAATATTTGCCTCCACAGAGAATTGCAAAATAAATGTTTTACATTGTCAGAATGATTGACTTGCCATAAAGTATAGCATTTGGCTGCCTCTGATTCTTTCTATTAGCTTCTCATAGAGGCAATCTTTTCTAACCTCTGGGAAGGAGTCACCTTATAGTGCATCCTAGAACTTCTGACACTAGGTACATTATGGAAAAATAACGACATAGAGCACAGGATTTTTAAATAGAATACTGCAGACCCTGTTCTTCTCTGTTACAACAGCTGCGCTCTCTCTCATGAGGCTGTGCATGGTCTTGACATTGCTGAGTAGGCCAAAGCTTTGTTCCTGATATTTAATCTCAGGAAGGAAGCGAGGAAACACCATCTGAACGGCACATCGGCCAGCACCAGAAGAAACATCTGCAGGAGTCCAAGAGCCCTATCTGCTGATCTTTGAAGTTGAGGAATACAGTTAAATCAGTTCTGCCTTTCACAGAAAGTTAGTCTGCGTTTCATGTGGACCAGAGAGGTTCTTAGTGTCTAATCAACAGCCTTTCAAATAGAAACCATTTTGAGATTTCTTAGCAGAGTAACACGAAAAGAATTAATTCCCCAAGTGCGGTATTATACAGATGCAGAGGCATCCTCTGCTGCAGGTTGGGGAGTCAGTTACATCAGTTTGTACAAATCATTCAGCTATATTCACTGAGCTGAACTGAGTTTGTCCTAGCAGCACTTACTACAGATTCAAACCTCTGTAATTCTGCATCAGCAGAACTTGTTTACCACCAGCCTATGCATGAGGTTAACTGCTGTGATATCGAAGACACGCAGTCATGTGGTAACTGCAGTCACAGGGTGACATCTGAACAGCTTTTGTCTGCAGTGACAATATCTTGTAGACCTAACAGCTTTCTTCCCAGTTAATAATATTTTGCAGCGCTAACCAAACATCACAACAAAAAAATCCCAAAAAGCAGCTGCTTTAGCATCTGATTCTGCATTTCTTGGCCCTAGAAAAGCCAAAAGAAATTCAATTCAAGGTAACTGCTGAATTAAAAAGAAAAACAAATGCAAAAACACAGAAGTTACGCCGAGTATCTGCTGGCAACATACAATAGGGAGGGTAGCAGTCCCATTAGCAATATCATCTAGTATATACAAATGTTCCTGGGGTAAAAAAAATGCAGCAGGTGAAACCATTTGGCTGCTAGGAGCACAGAGGTAATGAAGCAGAATTCAAAAAGCTCCTCAAAGACTCTGAAAGACCTGAACACTGGATTATAGCTGGACTCTAATGAATTATCAGGTGCCTAGTAAAACTACATCTGATCTTAGACTGCTGAAGTTCCTGTTTGTTTTTTTTTTAAAAAACCTTTTTTGGCATGACACATGTAAGCATGTGATATAGGATCTACAAGAGGAATGACTAAACCCTTCAGTGCTGCCCAGTCTCATGAGACTTGAACTGGAAGCACTTCACAAGAGATCTAATGTGATACTCACTCAGCCATGGTGAAAGCCAGCTCAAAGTTCTGCTTGCGATTAGCTGGGTCAAGCTTATTATAATCAAAAGCTTCAGGAAAGAAAGAATGCACAAGGGCACAGAATGCCATCCCATCATTCCAGCTCGAGGAGAAGTTCTGGAGATCAATGTGCTGTCATGATGAAAAAAATATGCATGTTAATACAGCACAGGGAACTGGGAAGAGAGCTGCTTTTGCTCACTGCTATGTTCTATCCTGCTCTCCCACTAACCAAAGCAAGCATACAGAGCACAGGATTTATGTTTTCTTCCCCTCTTTGTATATCCATTAGTTATATTATGAGGAAAAACTGGCATTCTCAGCCATGAAAGGCTCGTGCATGAAATGTGCAGTTGCAAAGCAGACGCACATTGAAGGCCCCTGATCCAAAGCCCATTGAAAATACTGCAAAGAATCTTGTTAACGTCAGTGAACTCTGCAGCAGGCCCAGTGTGCCAGTTCAGTGTCTGTGGAAACTGTGGTCACTGCTTATCCCTATGAAGTATTTGTAATTGAAGAATGGCCTATTTTGTGACAGTGTATAACACTGGATAAAGACCATGAGTGCTTGCTTTGCTATTCAGTAAGGCCTAGTGCAATGCCTGTTTACACATAGGTAGAAATACGGGCAGAATTAGGCCTCCTGCAAAACCTGACTCTTAATACTAAAGCTTATGGTTACTTTCAGTTGCCTCAGTGAAATGAAATATTTGGGCTCTTGCTTCATGCTGCTTTCCCAACATATAAAATTCAAGCTTACCCTGTCTGGTAAGTGACAAAAAGTCATTTTCATGAAGTCTGCTTAAGTATATGTTGGTTTAGAGCTTGGCAGTAATCATATTGTACAATAATGTTCAAAAAAACATATATTATGAAAAACTAGAAAACTTGAGCCTTTCTCCTGGAAATTGCTTTGGGAGCTGTGGCAGCCAGGTAAAGATTCATAAAAAAAGGCAACAGCCAAATTCTCCTAGCTACAGTGATACAACTTCATAGAAATGAACTCACTGAAACTGGGTGATTCAACCTCCACCATTTAATACAAATTCACTTCTTTAACTCCAGTAGAGTGTACTTTGGTCCGCTGTGCAACAAAAGGAACAGTCTCCACCTACTGTTAAGATGTTATCCATATTTTACCATATATAACAAGAATGCAAAAAAATCACAGTCTGCAACTAAGAAAAAAACAAAACAAAAAACACCTGAGTGTATAGTGAAGTCTGTCTCCATATGCACAAAAATGTAGGCCTTCAGCCAACACTAATGCATTGCTTGGATAGGCATACAGAGTCTCACTCAAGCTGTGATTCAGTCTTAAAGTGTTGTTCATAGAGCAGCATACAGAACTTCATCTTGGAATCCAGTGAGGAAGGTAACTCACTGTCAAGCATGTTTTACATTTACTTTTTGAGTACATTCTTCTGAATGTACTCAAATTCTTCTGAAAAAGAGCTGAAAGTGCTAGCATATCTTCACCTTGTATCCTATGGTTTTTGAGCGACACCAGTCTAACAGAATTTGTTTAATGCTGCTAGCGCTGGCAACCCCAAAACTTTGCGACCTCTTCAGCTTAGCTCTGGATTCTCCTTTTCCTCTGGAAGATTAACACAGAGACCAGATTAAATTACATGTTAGAAAAAACTTAAATGTATTTGTCACCTACATCTATGCAACCCTGCCCAGCCAATCCCTGTCAAGGTAATATTTGATAAACACAAGGCTGAAACTTCAACTTGTTGGTCCTGCAAGAAGAACTCATTCTGATTTCACTAAAGCCAGGATTCCAAGCCCTCTTCTATTTAAATCATACCCTGATCATGGTGCATAAAGGACAGACCATGCATTTGGCCCTTAATGAATGACAGCAGACAGTCCCTGTATTTCCAGTCTCCTCTTAGAACCATGCAAAAAAGAGGCTTTCACAGCACTC